GCAGTTGCCCCCATCCCATCCTGATGCACGCATCCATGTGGGATGTGTGTAAGGAGCAGCACGCAGGAGCATTTTTTTCTCTCACAGTCTCTGCCTTTTCCCTCTTGCCTGAGCTGCGAGCATGAATATGCCTCCAAAAGGAGAAGAGAGACGTCCCAGAATAGGAAGATTCAGACACAGATACAAGCTTCTGGCACTTTACCAATAGCAATCTGCACAAAATCTTGTGTATTTAATCATTCAGGGGAAAAAAGCAGCCCCCGAAGACTTCTGGTGCAGCTGTACACGTCGCCGGTGGGCTCAGCAGTGGTCAAGGCAGGGCTAGCACCAATTCAGACATGAGTCTTCTAGCAGGCAGCTACACAGGTCTTGGTTGAGCTAGCTCTCCTGCTGCAAGCCGATATCCCTGGGGAAAGACTGTGGGTTTTCCTCTGTGCAAGTGCTAGATAGCTTGTTAGTTGAAAAGGCAAATAACTGAATGGCAAGTGGTGTGGGAGGCGAAGATGCTGCCCACAGCCTCAGCCTGGCCAAGTGGCTCTGGCGCTGGCAGGGTTCCCTGGCGCTGAGGCTGCTGAGCAAGGAGTGGCAGGTGGTGAGCTCTCCCTGTGTGCTGGCCTCCATCCTGACTGGGCACTGCTCTTCTTGGGTTTCCTCGCTCGTTTCCCCAAGGATGAGGGGATGCTTGTGTTGAAGGACCCATCAGAACAATCTGGAGATAGAGGTGCACAGAGAGTTGGGGCTGCGCTCAGCACATCTCATGCTCTTTCAGGTCACATCCCTGATGAGATCTTCAAGGGCTTGTTTAGCCGCCTGTGTGCTTTGCTGCCCTAACTTTAGAGTGGTAGGAGAGCCCCTGTGCATATTCCACACCCCCCCCTATTTAGGACCATGGTGGCTCAGGCTCACTTGAGCTGCACAGCAGCTCCTTTCTCTGCACTATCAGAAACGTAACACACTTCAATTTTATTTCTCAGAAGCATGCTGCTAGTAGGGTTTGTTCATTTAATTGGCATCTCCAGCAATATTGCAGAGTGCCTGAACACTACTAATTACAGCCACAACACAGCCATCGGTTTGTGAGTTTTGAGCCTGTTCCACCATGAGGATGCAGAGCAGATCCTTTCCGCTGTCGGGAGGGAGAAGAGGCCCATTCAATGGGCTTGGGAGTTTAAACACTCCAGGGAGAAGGAAGGGTTTGGCACCGGGGGCTTGATGCTCTGCTCGGACAGCCGCATGCCTTGTGGTCTGGGGCCAGAGGAGCAGGGTCAGCACGTGATGCAACGGCCCCACAGGCTGAGAGGCGGCCAGCTGGGCCCCTGCCTTCACCTTGCAGACAGCTGACCCCGCAGTGAGACGGCGATTGCTGCTGCATCCAACGGACACTCACTGAAATAATAATTTTTTTTTAATTCCTACCCTCTCCCATGACCATGGCCAGGAAATGAAGAATGGTTTCTTAGCAGGACTCTGGTGGATATCTCCTCTGCTGGCTAAAAGCCACTGCTTATATTTTCCTCCCAAAGGATCGTATTTTCCAGTCCCACCTTTTACAGCCTTTGTTCCGATGAAGCGTGTGTCACTCTTTTCCAGCTGCCTGGGAGACTGCTGAAAAGAGGTGCATTACCTCCCACTGCTGTGAAAATTGGGGTGACCCCTTTTTTGGCATGTATTTGGGTGAGTTCCTTTGGGGAGCAGAATCATGCAGGCAGAGTTGTTTAAGAAGTGAAGACTAGAACAAAGCTGTTTTTTTTATTTTAATGAAGAGGAACAATTTCCCACTCTGTTTATTCTTCCTGCTCTCAGCAAAATGTCAGGAATGCTTAAGATTAATGTCAACTCATGTAAAAGAGAAACAGATACCAAGGAACATTAGCTCCATCACACTCAGTTCAACTTTCCTCCTCTTTCCATAGCAGACTCTGCTTTATGCTTTGGCAACGTACCGCCAGAATTTTTCTTGCCCTTTTCAGCTTAGATCACTGGAAATCCTTGTTTTATAAAATGCAGGGAGGGAAGAGAGCCCTTGCTGACACAGGGAGCTGCACTCTGCACAAAGCAGAGCCGTGTGCTGTCAGCTGGGGTGAAAAATGAGGGCCCTGGGAGAGTGCGAAAAGTCACACATGGTCTTATAAAAATATGCAGTTAGCTTCATATTAGGTAAAAAAAAAAAAAAAAAAAAAAAAAAAAAAAAATGGGAAGTTATAAAAAAAAAGGAAATAATTTTTTTAAGAGAAAAAAAAAAAAAAAAAAAAAAAAAAAAAAAGAGGTAGATTTTCTAGAAAGCCCTTCAATCAGCTTTGCATCTGGTATAACACAGCTTCCCAGCTGGCATTCCCCAGCGGAGCCCCACCAGCCCTGTTCCCCAGTCTTTGTCTGGGCAAATAGCTTATTGGTTACCCACACCAGGTGTACACAGAGACACATGCTGCAGTTAAGACCTCACCGTTTCTGATTTTCTGATTTGATTATGCAAATAATGTACTCCCGGACCAGAAGAGTGACACTGACCCAGCAGAGTTTGTTACAACAAGAAAATAGTCTAGGAGAGACCTTCTTTTCCCTTAGTGTTCCCATGTGTCCCCTGGCTTTGACTACCTCCTTCTGGCAACAGCGGCAATCACTGACATGGGACCTGTTTATGGCTTGTAACAAATCTTGCTGTGATAAAGTTCTTCCCTGTTTTCTAGTTTCTTTGTTCTTTTTGCTCCCTGTTCGCCTTTGCTCTCTGCATGCACAAGCTCCCCGCTGTTGCCTCTCTGTCCACCCCACACAGCCTCCTACATGGCCTTGTGGTGCCCCTTGCCTACCAATGTTCTACCTCAGTGGATGCCAGTACCTCAGACAGTGGCTTCGGTTCCCTGCAGCTCCCTATCTAAAAAAGATGGTGCTGTCAGACACTATGTTTTCTTGCGTAATACAGGAGCCTAAGCAAGAACAAGAGGTGGGACCTGCAATTAGTATTAGCAAGAAAACGAGGTGGGACCAGCAAAACTGCCTTGCCCCTATCCCAAGAGCCTCACCCATTCCTGGAACTACTTCTTCCAGACCCAGACTTTCTGGCTCCCTCCTGTTCTCTCTGTGCACTTGGTGTTTCCAAGATAATCTTAACCTCTTGCTCCTTTTCTCTATCTTTCCATTTTACTGCTCCAAACTGTGTCCGCAGCTGACGTCTCCTATCCTCCTGCAGCTCCCACCTCACCAGCCAGCCTGTCCCTGTAGCCCCAGAGTGTACAGGCTAGGGCTTTTGCTCAGGCTGCCTCGGAGTGAGCAGCAGGAGATACTGCAGTTGCACAGATGACGTGAGCCAGATGCTGTACAGGAATCGCCCCAAGCAAAGGCTCTGTTCCAGTGTCTTGAGAGCTACTGGCCTAAGCACAACACTGCCGGGCAAAGAGAAAGAGAAATGACACTTCAGTCTTGCCTGTGGAGTACAACAGTGCTGTGTGCTGGAGAATGTTCCAGATGTGTTCTTTCATCCAGACCTTCTTTAATCTTGTCAGGTGTATTTAAATATTCATTACACTTAGAGCTACCATGCCCACAACAGAAATTATGCTCTCTCCTCAGACATTTGGAAATAACATGGGGTTCAAAGGTTGTGCTCAGCTTTCCAACAGAGCTTTGCTGCGAGATGAACAAGTTTAACAAAACACTGCAGGACAGGCTTTGAAACATCGCCTGCATTGCCTGAAAAAATGCACTGCTCCATGCGATCCTTTCCCCAGGACATCAGTGGTGCTGAGTCAGACCAGAGCTAAGCAATGTGAAAGTCCCCTGCCATTCCAGCTCACCCTCAAATACTTTGAAATCTGGGGACTTTTTTTTTTTTAGGTTTCTTCACAACACTGTGATCAAACACTTATTATTCTGATGTAGCCACAACTATGACACCATCATCTTCCTTTCTTGCATCATAGCCACATAATTTCCATGTGCAAATGTCTGCAAACTCAGCTGTAGTAAATTAAGTTCAAAAGGGATGTTTTACCTGAGAGCTGCCCAGTAGCAACAGGTATCACTTTGTATGGAGACCTGGAAGAGTCAAAGAGGGCTGATGTTAGCAACACTCAGAAAGCAGTTTGTGTCTCACATCCATACTTCCTGTGAAGTAGGAAGAAGTATCTGAATATATTCTAAGCTCTCTTAAAACCTGTCAGTTTAAATATGAAATGGGCACTTTTTATGAAGACACAACCCTCCAATTTACTACTGAACTAGAGACAAAGAGGTCTTTCTTGTGCTTTACAGTCATGCAATGAACATGGTAAAAATGCCTCCTCTTTGGCAAGCCTTGGTAGCTTGTCGTCTGAGATGCTGAGGAAATTTTGTAAGTCAGAAGGGAGGTCCAGAGGTGGAGATCATCTTTTTGCACTGTGTCCGTGCATTGTCCTATGTGGTAGATCCCTCCCAGCTGTTGAAGCTCCACCACATGGTGTCAGTGAAAATAATGCCAGTGATAAGTAATGATGAAATACACAATGAAGTATCTAACAGCAGAAGGAGTAACTGTGAGCAGTCAGAGTGAAACTAACACCGCCGGGCTGAACAATCAACAGGAAGCCAAGGAGGAAAAAGAGAAAGGGATTTGGAGGTGGGAAGGGGCAAAGCCAGCATGGAAGAGACCTAACCTCATCAAAGACTTTGACTTCGCTTTGCAAGTAATGTCATGGCTGTGACCTAGCAGAGCAATAAAGGAGTGGAGGAACAAAGGAGCTGGGAGCCTTCACAGCAAATGGGGTGGGATGGGAACAGATGTTCTACATTAAAGACTTAAAAGCAGTATTTTTTCCTCAGACAATTACTCCTACTTTAATAACAAGTAAAAATCTTCAAAACCAGCAGGCATTTGTGCTATAAGCCAGCACGTAATTCTTGCTGTCATCCCCCTCCCTCCAGGGAGCTGCTCACCTCTTGCTGCACACAAAGGGCATCTGCAGGCAACCACTACCCCTTCCCTTGGGCTTGACCCTATTTTTGAAGAGCAGGTTGCAGCAAGGCTTACCTCTCTGAGTTTGCAGGCATTGTCGGATCAATGGATACCATACAATTGTCTGATGTCAAAAGGGAGATTGTTGTGTTCCTGGAAAACATGTTTCAAAGAGGTTTATTTGACCTAGAAATGCTGGCTGAAATGACGTGCTGCTGCATACGGTGCATAGCCGTCTTCTCTCCTTGCAGCACTCCTGGCCTGGCCTGGCACTGTCCTGGACCCATTTTAGCTTGGTGCAGAAGGGGTCAAAGCACAGGACAGGGTAGGTTTGATGCTTTACCCATTTAAATTCCTAGAGGTGTTTCTGGCAAGATGTTAAGTGTGATCATCTTTGATCTCAGAGCAGATTTTGCACCCTACTAACTCATGTATTTTGTTGTCTCATCAACTAATGATTTCTATTAAAAAGCTATGTTTTGTGATACATTGACCCGGCAGTTATGTATTGACTCACACTATACAAATGACTACTGGTTCTATGCATGTCTTGAAGTTTTTTAGGTACTCTTTTACCAAAACAAACAAAACAAATGTATTGCTGAATATGGGACCTTTTTTTATACTGTGCTAGGTGTGATCTCATAGGCTCAGATGTAAACCCTGGAGGTTTACTTTGCCATCAGGAGTCTGATTTAAATGCATAGTTCTTTGAAAGTCTTATGATGAAAATAAAATGCCAAATATGCAGTGAACACCCTGATCATGAATCACTAAAACTGCTAAACAAAGTTTCCTGGGTGATGGAGTGGAGGTATTTGACACCATAAGCAAATAAGAGTCATTAACCTCTCTAATGTCAAATGGGAGGAAAAAGCTAGGGTAAACAGCAAAGGGCGTTAATTCTGTCCAGCCGCTTATGCAAATTCTGAGTCAATATAGACAATTTTATCTTTCAATCCCAGAGCTGGAATCATGCAATAAACCCATGATTAAAGCACTGACTTATTTTTTCCTGTACTTTTTCTGTATTGTAAACCTCTGTGTACAAAGGTAAAGACTATGGCTTATTGCATGCTGCTGTGCATCTGGCCTGCACTGCTCAAGGTCCGTATGCAGACAGCAGATGCCCCCTTCTAGATGTGACTAAGGGGCTCTGCTCCCCCTGCACCACCGCCCCGGACAGGCGGTTCAGAAGTGGCTGGGTGCTAGACCATGCCACTCTCCACCACACACCAGCCTCTCCCACCCCAACACACACCTACACCTGATCCTGGGACCCTCTCAACACACAGATTTAAGTTGCGTGCTGCTCTCTACACTGAAGGTAAGAGAAACAAACACTACAGGAAATTACAGCAGGAGAGATGCATGGACTTTGCAGGACAACATAAATTAAGAAATTCTTGTCCTGGGCAATGGATTTGGGGATATTTATGTTCTATAAAATGGTTCTGCTGGGGTACCTTGTGCTTGACTCTCCCATACCTGGGATTAGGTTGTACTGTATCTAAATAGAAAGCTTATCACCTAGTGGCAATGCTTCTCATTGGCCTAAAATTTTTCCCTAAAAACAGGTTCTAAACATGTGGTTGTGTTTCACTCGATACGGGCAAAAATGTAGTGCTGAGATATAACTGGTAGGCACACACAACCAGTGTGCACTCAGGGCTGGGCTTCTTGCACTTGCTTTTATTTATTTAGACTCTGTCTCTTCTCTTCTACTCTGTTCTACTCTGTTCCTCAGGCACAGCTGGCACTGAGGTGGCTCCACGCTTGCCAGAGCTTTGTGTACCTTTCCAGCTGGTTTCTCTGGGTTGCCCCAATTTCTTCTTCCAGTAGACTGGAATGAGAGAGAAGCCTGAATAACAGGTAAATGAATCATTTGGGACTTGTCTTTAAACTGTCTCCAGAAGTAAAGGAACAACAGTGAAATGAATGTCACAAATTAAAAGAGAAACCTACCTTGGTAACCCTGTTGCAATGCAGAAGAGGTCCATGATATCTCTGGAGTTGCAATATTTACTGAAGATCACCTTCCAAACCGAACAGCAGCAGCGGAAAAAAAAAAAAAAAAAAAAAAAAAAAAAGGAAGACAAAGGATGGTTAGTTCCCAGTGAGATATCAACTCTACTCAGGCGTGAACTGGACTAATTTTAAGGCTCATCCTACTACTTCAATTATCTGATTTGACTTCTGAGCTGGAATATTTGTCTACTCCTGTTTAATACCTGTGCTTTTTTCGATAAAGCAAGCATTTGTGCTGTTCAGAAGTAGAGCAATAATGTATGTGAATTGAGAGCAAAAGATATCTCATAATGCAGTATTGCTGCAGGATGATAACAACTGCACATTTAGGGATGTAAGAGTCCAGACTGAGGAAGAAAACAACCCAGATTTGAGGAGGTCCTTGAATGATATAAAAGGGTACTGCTTTTTGAACTATACCAGCTTAAGAGAGCTTTAAACAGAACCGAGGGTTTTTTCCCCTCATGTTGTGCCAGATTTCCTGCCAACTGTCAGGCTGTATTGTTCCTGCTATTAGGTCAGAGCTTGGACCTTGAATTACAAAATTTGCAACTGTTACCTTCCCGTGCCCCCAAACACCTCTTCATCGCCCTGCCCTTCCACACACGCCAAGCAGCCCCTACGTGGAGAAGACTGAGTGGTGGGCCTGGGAATGCAAGATCCCCTTGATCCCGTTGTGGTACAGCCTTCAATGACACGATCCCATGCCACGATTTTCCCAAAGACTCCCACATCCATCAGGGCACGAGGGCGATGGTGTTCCCTGGTTGAGGAACTCTTCTGCAGCTGTGGTGGGGGGGCAGAGAGCCTCTCCTGTGTGCCTTTGATTGACTGTGGTGGAGGCTTTTCACTGTGGAAATGAAATGCCTCGTTGCAGTCAGGCCCAGCTCATCTTCTCAAAGCCGGCAACTACAGTGAGTGTTGGGGCTGATTTGTCTGGAGACTGCTGGTGTTATCCGGGTGGCTGCAGGCTGTGGAGGCCAGCAGTTGCGTGGAGCAGGGCAGCTTCCCTGGCCCGTGTGGGAGCTCAGCTGCCTCGCAACGCTGGAGAAGAAATAGCCACAGAGCAACCGGGTTCAGGATGCAGCAGCTCAAAGGGAGTTGTGGAGATCTAATGGCAAAACTCAGGAGGAGCAAGAAAGTGGTATTTCGCAGATGAGGTCTGAGGCACAGGGATATCAAGGTCAAAAGTCTCCTCTCCTTGTGGGTGCCTCACTGGAAAAGCCATTTTCCACCACTCACGACCACCTGTAGCATCCCATATTCTCAGGCACAGTTTCCATTGCCATCCATTGCAGGCACAGGGGATGTGCACGCTCACAGATCAGCCTCAAGGCTGGTGACCCAGAAAATGAGGAATATGTCACCTGGGATGGCCTTCCAATGGTTTGTTTTCACTGCCTTGCCCCGTGCTGCCAGGAGGAGGCAGGGGCTGCAGGCAGCGGGGGCTGCAGGCAGTGGGGGCTGCAGCCACCCTCCCTGGATCCGGTCAGTCGAGCAGGCCCCATGTGTTCTGTCTAATTAAATACTGTTCCGAAAGGCATAGGTGCTAGGAGTTAATTAAGCCTGCAGCTTCACTCCAGAAGACTTTGAGTTTCTTTAGTTCCTAAATCATAATAGCATTGCAGTAATGTGGTTCCCACATGGCTTTTCTAAGGTGCCTTTCAGATACTACGGGAAATTCCTCACCAGATGTGTCGGTGGTGCCGGCCCAGACCTCTGCCGCTGGCAATGGCGAGGCCATGGGAGAGCTGGTGGGATGCTCTGCCAGCGAGGAGCTGCTAAAGCCTGCTCACAGCTCAGGACATCACGAGCCTGAACTATTGGGAGAGTCAGGACAAAACAGCAAGATCTGACCAGCCTGGCTGAGTCCAGTTGTGCCTCAGGTGCAATGCACCTGACACGAGCTGATGCTGAAGCAAGGCTTCAGACCTCAGTTTTCCCTGGTGGTGAGGAGCCCTCTTACTCTTGAGCAAAGCATTAGGGGTTTTGTGGTGGAGAAGAGAGCAATATTGGTCACCTCAAGAGGCAGCTGTGACTGATCCTTGCGTGCACACCCACCTTCCCTGTTTTCCTACCTGGAAGAGATGACACCAGGCAATATCTTTACTTTATAAAACATCGAGACACTTTATTGCTGATGCAGTTAGTAGCTGCTGCTGGGGAAATGGGTGGGATTAATGCCCAGGTATGTTTTAAAAGTGTGCTTTGCCCAGTGATTGACTCTTGGTCATTAAAATACAGCAGCAGTCAAAGCAATAAAACATAGGCAATCAAGTTCAGATAGGGCTGAAACGCTGCTCCTAGCAGAACACAGCATCCTACCGGAGTGATGACTGCTAAAATTGGCTGACAGAGTATTGGAGGGTACAACAACTGATACACGTAGGAACTGAGCAGATGATGTTAATTGCAGCTGAACAGAGGGTAAAGGTTTGTGGTGTGCCAGGAGTGCTATTTCAGGTATTGAAGTTTATTATTCTGGAAATCAATTATTATTGACTAGGACAGATAAGAGAGGAAATGATAAAAAAAATACAAAACATTAAAGGTAAGAAAGACAGATGGACTTATAGAAAGCAGCAGGAGCTTTCAATGCATTGACGATAAATTTTAATGCTCCCTTTTACTCCATGTAATAGTGGAAGAGTGGGAAACAAAAAAAACCCTGTAGATACTAGATCATGATCTATCTCCATACATGTGTTTTAGCTTTCCATACTTGGCATTTTTACTTAAGTTTGCTAAAAGTGGATTTGTGAATCACACACTGCAGTTTGATACTTGTCTCAGGATGGTTGTCTTGTCCTCAGCTGTTTGTTTATTTTTAAACAAAGAGCGCATGCTACTAAAGTTTTCTTCGATTGCAACCTGCTGAGCTTTTCTGACCAACTTCCTTCTGTTCTAAAACAAAGCAGCCAGCCTCACACATTTCCCAGCAATATGCAATTGTTCCTGTTATTGCCTGCAGGTTTATATGCCCAATAAAGCTGATGTCAGTTGTGCTGATGAAATACGATTGGAATGTATTTTGGAGAGATGGGTGGACAGTACTGTGTACTATTGATGGCTTCAGAACAATATAGGAATCCGATTTGCCTAAAGTCCATTATCATTGCAGGGACATTAGCAACATGAAGGCAACATGGTGACACTGGGCTTACAGCCATACTTCAGCCAGCTGGAACACATGGTTTCTTTCATGAAGGGGAAGATGGTTGACCTGCAGCTTTGAGGCTAGGCAGCCATGTTGGCATTAGCTAAAGAACTGAGCAGCCTACCTGGTCCTGTGAAGATGTCCTTGCTTGGGCAGATGTCCTGAAGCCATTGCTGTTCATGCTGGGTCTCCATTATGATACTTTTCTAGCCCTGTTTCTTGGTCTGATCCAGACCCACACTCAGCACTGAGGGACTTCATCTCCCTTCAAACCTGTCTCAGTGTCCCTGACCCACAGTCATCATCTTGCTTAGGTCTCTGTGCAACCCAGCCACATCTGTGATGTGTCTCACAGCACCTCACTCCCTGCATTAGCGCCTGGCGCTGGAAGAAATCACTCCTTAGGACAGCACTGAGACCTTGCTATGGAGTGTAACAGAGGCCAAAGACAAGAGACCACAGAAGTTTCTACAACTGTGGTATTGGGCTAAGATCAGGCGCGTGTGGGGCACAGACAAGGTTCCCTATAATACATGTCAAAAAAGTGCATAGTGACACAGGTCAGCACAGCCCAAAAAAGACAGGGATGCAGCTCCTGACTCATCTCCTACAAGAAAGAGTGGACACAGGGACTCCAATATTGCCCAGTGGTATGAGAGTCTCCTGCAAGACAGGTCAACACACAAGACACTCAGTTGCCAGTGTCATTTCTAGAAGCAAAGGCAGAGCCAAAATCATGTGCGAGCAGAGTCACAGTGGTGATACACTGCATGGAGAAGGGAAACAGAGTCCTCTGCTTCAGCTTGCAGATTGATGACTAAATGCCATGAAGAAAACCAGCCACATATAAACCCTGTTAATTGCATTTCACTTGGATTTGTGCCAGAAAAAAAGAATGTATTCCTCAAAAGTGATGCAGCATCTGCAAACAATTCATCTCCCTTGTTTGAGAGTTAACATTATTTCATATTTCTCTCCTTGTTACTGTTAGCAAAACTTCTACCATGTGCAGAAAAAAATGACAGGAAAACTAGTGTTCTCTGAATGCTTAGCTTGATTGTTTCAATGAGTCCCCATCAAGACCAAGAAGCAGCCATTTGATTTAAGTGGGGAATGCTGTCTGTCTCACTTAGAAAGTAATGTGAAGCAAAGGGGGGAAAGCAGAATGAATAATTACTGGGGCTTTTTGGAGTGGAAATAATATTTTGATGAAGCATGCAGTGACTGTGAAGTAGGACAGTGTAACTCAATGGGGATGCCTGGTTCCTGGCCCAGAGCTCACTTCTGTGGGACTGATTTCTTTCCTGGAGACAGTTCTGCATTTTTTGAAAAATATTCTTCTGAAATAAGGGGCCATTGTCTCTTAATCCATAGTATCCACTTGTGGTCAAGGATGGGGATTTTAAAGCCCATCACAGAAAGAGTAGGGATTAAGAGCCCTAGTACTCTGGCTGGCTTTCCCACTCAGAGGAGCAGCTCAATATTAAGGGCTATGATGGAGATATTACTAAGGGACCATTGTGTACATACTCTGCAACCTACCAGTTTACAACTAATCACATTATATTTTGCTTTCAGATAGGATGAATAAAAACACAGTTTACAAATCCAGTTTCTGTTCTATATTTGATCCTCAGAACAGCTAATCCTCTCTGTAAACTGTAAACTCTCTCCAGAATGTTATCCTGTTCTGATCTGTTGCTGGTAATTGGGTTTTCTTCCAAGAATTTAGCTTGCGTTTGGTTGTTTGTTTTTTTTTTTTTTACCCTAGTAAAATTCCTACATAAATAATGCAGAAATATTTTCAAAGCCAGTGGATGCTCTGTTTGCAGTCCTACTTCCTTTTGCTGG